CCCTCCTGCGAATGCAAACTTCAGGTACAAAGCAAGTGGCTATAACTGAGCAATAAGAATTGCAGAAAAACGTTCCCTAGAAGAAATGAAGGACCTCTCCAGTTCTATGCCATAACCAACAGAAAGCAAACTGAGCCTGCGGAAAATGTCCTCAGCAAAACTGAGAGTAGAACAAAACAAGATGTAGCCTTAGAGCCAGGTCATGAATGAATCATTACAAAGTTGGCTGGCTCAAGCCAGAGATGAAGGCATGGAAAGTGATAGAGAGATGGAGAAAAATAAATCAATATGGATGACTGAAATCCGATTCAGTGCACTAAAACTCCCTCAGATTTCTCTTGCATTTTCTCTTAATTAGGCTGACAGGAACTGAAGCTGAAAATGTTAAAACCCAACTTTAGTCTTCCATGTTGCACTTAGGTACAGTGATTTATTAGAGTCCTTTTCTCTGCGCCTTGGGAGGGCAGACAGTGCTTTGATGGCTAGGACTTTCTGCAAAAGTGCATAGGGTGTCCTGTGAGGGCTGAAATAGCTGAAGCAGTGTCTACACCTGGTCATAAGAAGATTTAATCTGCTTAGTGGGTAAAAGTCAATTAGCAACAAAGACAGTGCATAAAAGGCTGGTTACTACAAATGAGGAATCTGTAAGGAAGATAGGATCTATACCTCAAGCCAGGGGCAAGACAAAACGCACTGCTCTTTGTTGCAGGCTTTCCTGCACACACCTAAATTGATGCACTTCTAATAATAAGTTAGTCATGGCAGGCAGGGAGAATAACAATCCCTACCTGACTTAAACTACTAGACAGCATGCTGGGAAAAAAAAAAAAAAAAAAAAAAGAAAGAAAAAGAAAAAATAAAAAAGAAAGAAAAAAAGAGGGAGGTTGTTGGTAAGGGAAGAATATTCCAGAATGTAATTCAATCAGGTGTGGTCAAAAGCAAGGTCTCAGCCCTTGTGTCAATTTAACACCAAACAGAAGAACTGCAGAGTTTGGATGTCTCCCTCCACCTTAAATTATGGATGATTTCCAGGAGTTTCCTTAATAAAATTTGTCTAGAGAGAAAATATTGGTGTCAGCAAGGGGAAAAAAATTCTGATTCACGGAAAATGGAAAAGAGAAAGGCAGCTTCAACCAGGAGTTAGCCATCAATCTATTTCTTAGACACAGTCTTGGCAGAACCCATTCTCCTGGTAGAACTTGCCTGGAGTAGACCAGATTGATTTGACAGTCTCTTAGCCTAATAAATGCTTGACCTCAAGGTCTGCTGAATTCACTAAATTCACTATGCAGAGTGAATTGGGAACCAATCACCTCAGGGGAGCATACAGTTCCACAGCCCTCCCCTGATAAAGGCCTTGACTGCTTTCAGCCTTAGCGAGATGACTAGATGGAAGCTGCTCTCAAAAGAAGAAAGGTTAATCGACTACACTGCCATTAATCAATCACTTGGAAAGATTCAGCACTTACAATAGGTAGGTCCCTCTTCCTGCCAAGAGGTTCTTGCATGTTAACCAGGGACACACCATTTCCTCCTGTATGAAGGATGAGTAACAGACAGAAACAATCCAGATAGATGCCAGGTGTATGATCCAAAGCCAGCTGAAGTCTATAGAATGACTCCCAGCAAGTTCAATGGACTTGGATCAGATCTCAGAGGAAGACTTATTATCCAAGTTTTATATTGCGTATGGATACTGAGCTACTTTTAGTAGTGAGGAATCCTTGAAAAGAAGCAGATTCATTGCAGTTTTGCCTCCCTGTGAAACAGTACTTCTTCAAATCATACTGTGCCCTATTTACACTGATTGTCAGATAAGGCTGACATCCAGCAAAGGAAAATTACCTGCCTCTGACAGTAGATAGACACAAAAACATTTCAAAGACTCAAAGGAGTACAGGAAGAAAAAAAACACCAAAATATCTCTACAAATGTTTTTCTGGCCTTTTTGTAACTGCTCAGAACCAGAATGTTGCCTTTCTGAGAAAAGCTAGATCAACTTCTAAAATCATGAAGCAAAAGGAGAAAATAAAATTGAGAAGATCCTGGCATGGAGAAGAACAAGTGACGAAAAACAGCTGCAAGGATGGTAAAGCTGATACAGCCAGAGAAAGAACATACAAGAGGAAAAAACGCTTTGAAAGTACCTCTGAAGAATACACATTTCTCTAAATGAACATGTGCATTCACCATCAACATCTCTTGATGATGAAGCAGTGACTGTCCTTGATGCTCGTCTAAGTGGGAAAAGTCTCAGGCTGTTACAAATAAAGGCCCTCCTATTCCAGTGCAGGACAACTTGATTCTACCTGCTACGCACCATGGTCAAAAAGCTGCAAGGCAAACCAAAAGATACAAACCTTTGCAACATATGCAGCTTGCCTATTGCAGAGCCTGGTACAGACTTTTATGCCTGCAAGGAATTGCCTGGAATTTCCTCACTACCAGCCTTCCTCAAGACATACTCCTGGCTGCACTTCTGCCAGCCTTCATTTATCTGAGTGTTGCCAGAAGGCTTCAGGCTGCTCAAATCCTTGAGCAAACCTGCTGACTCAAAATTTTAGCTTTAGGGGTAATAACTCAGTTTTTGCTACAAATACCTGCAGCAGTGAATGTAGACCTGTATCACAGACTGCACCTGTCCTAGCTACATGCATGCAGTGAAGAGTTGCCAGGTCCGTCAGGAGGCTGGAGAGCAATCCAGGTGCAATGGCTGGAATGGTCTAGAAGCTCATGGCACAATGAAGTATCCCAGGAAATGGATCCTTCCTCCTTATGTGATAAGAACAAACAAAATACCAGTGAGTGAGAATAACACAGGCTGCATTATATGTAAGGTTGTGCTTGGTTTTTTTTGTCCTCCAAGAAGCTTTATCTGAGGAAGGACAGCCATGTTAAATACAGTTGTTCTTAAATATACAGTTCTTTGTCAGCAAACAGGTGTGGCTGAGAAAACCAATTCTCTAGTCTACCACCCATTGCTGACTGAAAAAAGAAAACTGAACTGACACCCAAAATGAAGAACTGATCTTTGGTTACAATAAGATTTCAATAGCACCAGGAGGCTTAATAGTTGTCAACTTATTAAGACAAATGGGAAGGCTGTTTATCTCCTCATTTCCTGTATTCACACTACTGCAGGTGCAGAATCACGGAAACACCTCGTTTTATTTTTTTGAAACTACATTTTCACAGCAGTAAGTGCTTTTTGAAAAGAAGACTCTGCTATTAAATACTTAACTGTATTGCCACAATACCAGCAGGTTCCATTGTGTTTGTCATTCTATAGGCATACATTGAACCATAATCTCAAGAAGTTCTCCTGCCATCTACGGATTCTGCTGCAGCCACACAACTGAGAACAGATTCAAATAAAAACCCATTTTATTTATCTATGTTTATCTATGACCACTCATTTCTTAACCCACGCTGGATAAGCCTAAAGCCCCTGCAGCTCAGTACTAATGAACAAGTACACAGGTTAGTACCTAATCCATTTTTCCTTGTGTCACCTAAAACAATATCCTGCAAGACTTAACTGTGCAATCCTGGTTGCACTGAATTATGTAACCTGAAGACAAAATCTCTTCTGTCTAACAGGAATGAAAAGGATGGATGGCAGAGAAGTGAGAGAAAAATTCCGAGTGCCTTATCGACCCAGCTGACATCCTAAGAATGGTAAGCCATAAAAATTTATTGAGGATTAGAAAAATTCTTACTGCTGCACCCCCAGCTGTTCATGCCACACAAAAATGTAAAATTCCCTTAAACCACATATTTAAAAATCTTGCAATTTTATTTGCATATAAAGGCCGCTAGATATATCACAATAAATTTAAAGAAACAACTGCTTTCTAAATTCCATTAACAAGTTAACATAAAACAGAACAAAGCTCAATAGCATTTACAGTGGTAGAACAGAAATAACTATCTGCAACAGTATTTTGTGCTAGCAAGATTGCATTTACACACAGTGCAAAATAAGAAGAAGGAAATAAAAAGACAAGAAGAATATTTAAATATAAAGGACAACTAAGCCTTACTTTAGTTAGGCTCGATTGTATCCATATGACTCTATACATGCCTGAACTACAACAAAGATTGAACTCAGGCTCTGGAAGGCCTTGAGCACTTGGAAAATGTGTCACATCCTTCATCATTTAGATGTGCTGTACAGCATAATTTTGCAGATGCTATACTGGCAATATTAAATCCTAGCTTAGTTATAATGCACAAAAAATACATATATATATAAATTCATATTTAAAAGGAGTCCGCATTTACATTATTTTTTTTTACTGCATGAAACGCCTGCTCTTTGCAGCTTTCATTCCCAGTTTTTTAAAGCTAAAATAATTTAAAAACAAACAATAAAAGGCAGATATCACATACAGACCGTGGCTATCTATACCATTCTTTACCATACAAAGCAGGTAGTGGACAAACAAACAACTGAGAAGTCTATTCTCCCCTCGCTGCATTTTACTGTGAACAGAAACAAGTTTCAGCACACGCACACATATCAAGAGGCAAATGGACCCCAAAGTCTTGTCTGTGCTATAAAAAAAAAAGTAAAAAAGAAAGGCAGGAAGAAAAAAGAATATAAATGGAGAGATGAAAAGCTAACATTTAGACCATAGGGAAATGACATTAAAAAAAACACACGACATTAACAAAAGTTGTGCAAATTTGGGTGTTTTTAAATGCTGCCTATTTTTTTTTAGCTTATCATATAATATTAAAATAAGGTCTCTCACTTCTTAAAAGAAAGCTTGGCTGTCCTTTTGAGAACACTGTAACAATTTACAATGGCAGTTTATTGAAAAACAAAATTAATTTTACAAATTCACAATGCTCTTCCAATTTCAAATGAACGCTGCATTTCCAAAAAGCACAACCTCTAACTTTTCGTCTTGTTTCGTTGCACCAGCAATTTACTAAAAAAAACCCCCTCCCCAAAACAAAAACCCCTCCACTCTCCCTCCCCAAATGCCCCCCACAAAAACCTTTGAAATAAACATGTAACAGAATGCAAGTATTGTAATTAGAAAATGGCAGTTTATAGACCTTCCTCAGTTCCAAACGTGCAGCAGTGCTTCATGATCCTTGAGGGGTTGGAAGGTCAAATATAATTGGAGGGTTGGTTGGTTGAAAGCTGACTGTACACGTTGAAGCATTGATGTACGTTGTGTAACCGTCTGTCATAATGCCATAACCTGTAGGGACAATGTGTCACACTTACTGTAATATAAACAAACGATGCTGCCCATGGGCAGCTGCAGTGAAAGCCTGTTGTTGGATCAATGCTTTGGAATAAAATTATATTAATCCCTTCAAAACGACATGAGCTCTTGAAAGCTGCCAGAAAGACTTGACTGAAAAAGCACAATATACCGCATTTGAAATAAGAACTGAAGCTTTTGTTTTATGCACACATTTTCTCACAGAAAATCCTCTGCTGCAATTTGTTACAGAAAACCAGAGACAAAACCACACATGCACTATTTCTAATTACTTAATTAGCGTGTTGTACTTTGCAAGCTTGTAAAGCCTGTCAGATAATAAAAGAAACAGTAAGGAACAAGAGATTTAGAAGTCACTTCCATTTAATCTACAAAAATCATTGCCCTCTCTGGGCAATAAATGAAACCTCATAAGCTTTTCCCATGATAGCCTTTATCATACAGGTCCTCACTGCACGACTGCCAAGCTTGTGTTCACACTGGCTCACGAAACCTCAGAAATCTATTAGCATGAGCAGCTGAGGGCCCTGGGTTTGCTCAGCGCAGAGCAGAGCAGGCTGAGGGTGGCCCCATGGTGGCTGCAGCTCCTCACAGGGGGTGGAGGGCAGCGCCCAGCTCTGCTCTCTGACAGCGACAGGGCCCCAGGGAATGGCATGGAGCTGTTAGGAGGGTTAGGGAAAGGGTCTGCACCAGAGGGTGGTCAGACACTGGAACACTCTGCGCAGGGCATGGCCCCATGCTGCCAGAGTTCAGGGAGCGCTCAGATGTAGGGCTTGGATTTGGGGTGGTTCTGTGCGGAGCCAGGAGTTGGACTCCATGATCCTCGTAGCTCTCTTCCAACTCAGGTTACTCGGAGGTTCTATGATACAGTCCCACTCACAAATGCTGCTGCAAAGTACTACTTTGAATGAATAACTGGATCTAACCAGTGGTGTAAAATTCAGATATGGTTTGCTTCTAAGAGGCTTTCACACAGAGCTGAGACTGGCTGATTCAAAAGGAGGCTGCAGTTACAGCAGCCTAACAGGCAAGAGAATTCAAATGTAAGAATAGACTTAACAAGAACACAGAGAGATTAAATTCTTCACAAAAAGACCAGCGAAAATCATGACTAAGCAAAGGAATCTCTTGCTGTAAGCACAGTAGAGCACAGGAGGTCAATGAACAACTACTGGCTTAAGCAGAAAACTGAGGTGAGAATTACATAGATGACTGCTTTTCGTGAAGGGATGTTGACAACTTGTTCCCTAATAAAGCAAGAATTAGTGAATTTTGATCACAGGATTTTTCAACATGTCAAGGATTTGACTCCACAGTAACACCACAGCATCAGTTTCAGGAGGCTGGATGCTTCTCAGCCTCCTAAACATCTGGCCAGCAGTGCTCTTGTTTCGGACAGATCTGAGGAACCAGCAGTAATGCCTCCTCTCTCCTAGCCTGCATCATCTCTTCCACCTGCCACACAGGAACAGGATGGGATAGAAGAGCGGCCTGCACATGTGTAGAATTTTGGGCAAGCGGAACAAACTCTGTGTGCCTTGTGAACAGTCACACCTGAATCTTCATTAAGCCAGTGTGTGATACTGTGATGTGAGAACAAGAATTTCTCACTGTGCAAAAGCACAGAAGTTCTTTTCCTGCAGACATTCTCTCAAGGACAGGGAGATAGAGCTCCAGTCCCATCGGTGCATAAGATCCATTGTTTTCATCTGACATCCACTGAGAGCTTGCAAAGAAACTAGAACAGGTCTGGGAAGAATTTGGCACAAAATGCACTTTTTTTTATTAGAGGTTCATAGAGGAAGAGAACTTCCCACCGCTAACCCACAGGGGAAAAATGTTTTTCTTTTAAACCATTATGATACAGTACAGATCACTGCTGTCTGAAAGCTAAGATAAATCCAGCTACCCACAGTTTCTATCACAAAGAATAATCACTTCAGAATTGCTGCACTTTATTTATTTGGACTAGCAATTTTGATTTAGATCATCTCGTGGTGGGAAAAACATTGTTTGTGGCTGTTTTTACTTATCAACCAGAAAAAAAACAGGCATGATCAGAATGTGTGTAGCCTCCCTCGATTTAATGGAATGCAGTCTGTGTTCATCTAAGCTAGAGATGAATGAGAATTAATTGTATTGCAGGATAATGCTCTTAACAATTGGCTATTTCTTTCTGTAGCAAAACAGGCCACTCTTATGTCTTCTGCATAAATACTAAAACAGGTTCTAAACTTTTTAAGTATTCTTCTAAGAATGTATTTGAATGTTCTCTTTCAACATGTGCTACCATCTTTCATGTGAGATTTAAATGTAAGATGCTGCATTATGGTCTCTCAGTGCTTTCTCATAATGATCCTGTACATTAAAATACCTTTCTCTCCTATTGCAATTGAAAACTTCAGTATCCAGTGTGCTTACAAAAGCTGCAGACCATTTCTGTGTTTTAGCTGGAACTCTTGCTGTGTTCACTTACTCTCAGTATGCAAGGATTGGTATTTTTACAAAATATCCAGTGGTTTCCTGGGAGCATTCTAACACAGCGAACATGCTACTTGAAGTCACATCAGTATTTCCCTTAAAAACTATTGACAGATCTTTATAAACCAGGAATAAAATGAATTTCATAATGTCACAAAGGCTTAAGTAAAACCAATGGTACTAGTTGACAAAGCTGTCCTTTTTTTTTTTTTCTTCCCATTTCTCTTTTGTGAAGTTCTCCAAATCTGTGAGCTGATGGAGAACCTAATTAGAAACAGTGCAGAAATCTGCAGATGGGAGGGGATATAAAGCATTTACTGCATCACTTTGAGTCCTAGGGTCACACAGACTTACACTCTCTCAGGCAAACTTCCTAATATTTGTCTCACAGGCATGTAAAAGCTACAAAATTGGTTTAAATATTTAAATGTCTCCAAAATTATCTCATTCCCTCCCACTGCCAACAAACAGCTTTTTGTTTCTGATCTGGAACTGATTATGAGCATATCTCTTTTTATATGTGAGACTGCTGTAAGGTAACACACATTACGAACCGTATCCCAGGATACTTTTAGAAATGCATGCAAAGTGAGTTCTGGCAATGATATTTGCCCTCCTTTCTGCTTTTCTTTACACGCTGAGGGAGGTGAGCTGAGACAGTAAGTTGTCTTCAGTTTTCTTTTTTTCTAGCACCTTTCTTGGCTCTTGCACTTGGAATAATTGGACTAAGTTTCATTTTGGCTTGCATGTGTGGGGAATCTCATCTGTTTCTCTAACTAAGTTTGTCAAAATTTAAATTGCTTTCAAATAACCTGTATAGAACAACCTTTGCACAGTGAGAGATGTAGGTGGCAAAATGCAGCACACGTTCCTGAAACAGCCTGTTTTAATTCTGGCATAAATTCACGAAGTGCCGTGTGTGCAATCACTTCCCTCAGTTCCCTCTCTACTTTAGTCCAATATGTCATCACCCACCCTTTGCAATGCACAACTGACGTGTGCTTCTTTGGAACCAGGCTCAGATCAAAGAGCAGAGAAGCAGTGCTGCTTACCTTCATGGATCCCACCAAAGACATGGAGTTTGGGCCTTACTCGCCTTTGCACTGTGTTTAGCAGTTCCACACAACCAACTCTCTGCAGCTCTTTTGGAACCCAGTCTCGAAAACCTGCAGGCAAAAAATGCAATCAATACTATTAATTTTCTCTATTCAGGTAAGGTTTCACACAGTCTTTCAGGAAGTCATAATTCACTGAAGGTTTATTACATTATCTGCAGTCATAACCTCTCCATTAAAGCACACAATGGCTTTTAAGAAGCGTTTCACTGTCACTTTGTCTTCCTCAAGATCACCCTCCTCCATCTGCATTGATATTTTTCTGGATGTGATTTGTTTTTTTAAACTATGGGCTTAAACTCATCTTCCACCTTGAAACCTTGGAACGTTTATTCCCGGCATTGCTGCTGATTTTTCTTCCCTTTCCCCTGGCTCTCACAGCAGTCACCTTCCCAAGTCAGCAAGGTGGCTACTCCAGAACAAAATACCTGAGGAAGACTGGCTGTTGTACAGCCTGATAGCTGCTGCCACCTGAGAGATTTAAAATACAGTCTCCCAACAACTTCCAAGTGCAAGTGCCAGTCTTGTTCTGAATCCCCAGTCACCAGCAATAGGCAATGAGTATTCAATTAAAACATTCATTAGCACCCATAGCATCAAAGTATTTCTATACAAAAGCAACTCTGAGCAGAAGGATTAGCAATCCTTTTAAAACAGTACCTATGAAAAACTGTAAAAGTGGTTGTGGGTTGTTTTTTGGTTTTTTTTTTTGCTTCTTTGGGAAAATAAACAGATTAAAAGAGGGCTGTTCAAGGTGTTGGCTTTCAATACCCAGTGTGTTCCACTGTCAGTGGGACACAGGTAGCCCTAGTTGGCTTAACAGTATGAAAAGAGCTGTTAGTTACCAAGATATCAGAAGAGCATGAGTACATTATTAGTCAAAAAGGTCTTTTTTTCCCCTTCTTTTCCTTAGCTCTGCATAGATTGCTGACTATTAACTTCGTGGTGACACAATGCATAAGCCATGCATTAATTCCTGACTCCAGAGTCACCATGAAACTCTGCAAGAACACAGAGCCAGCTAGGTAGCATTTAAATGCTGCTTTATAATGGCACCATGCAATCCTGGTTACTGGTGGGGCTTTTTTGTTTTCTTTAAAGTCATTACCATCACAGAATTGAGTGACTGCATCTGAACACCTGACCCCTTGGACTTCCTAGAACTATGACAAAATTACAGTCTATGAGCAATAATGAATAAGAGGCTGATGCTTCCTCATGCTCAGAAGCCACATTTAGAAAAGGCAGGCGCTCAGTTGTTTTTAAACTGACTGAAATATGAAAGATATGACTCCAGAGTCCTCACCACATGCATTTCAAAGGAAAGCAGTAAATAATGTGTAACAGTATCTTGCGAGGTTACAGGATAGGGGAAAAAAAAAAATTCAAATCATTCAATGTAGGCGTTAATTACTTTAGATATGTCCCAAACCAAGCACTCTTGCCTCTGCTGAGCAAGCATCTCAGCATCTTTTTGAGAATTCTGTTTATCACAGAATGAGCACAGAGATCAGAGAGCACAATTAAACTAAATGAAGACTTCAACTAATTCATGAAAAAAAAAAAAGAAAAAAAGAAGTATGCATACACAGATTGATTTGAGGGACTAAATTTGTTGCTTCACGAGTTTACTATAAGTCAGCTAGAATATGCAAGAGTAGTTTTAAAGACATTATTAAGATTAAAAGGAAATAGTCAAGGAGAATGTGACTGTATACTCTTGAACTTTTGACTGCATACTCTCAAACCTTAAAGAAACATGTCATAGTAGTTGGGAAAATGTTTTAGAAGTTTTAGTCAATCTCTGAAAAATCATATGGGATTGGAAAGTGCAAGATGAATAATGTTCTTAAGTGAAATGTCAAACTCTCACGGCCATGGAATCAGATATTTGATATTCCCTTGTTTGAGCGAAACAAAAAATGTAATTGAAAAAAAACACCTGGAAGCTCAACAGTTCTGCTAACCCTAATAATCTCTGTGCTCTTCTTACCAAAAGGCTTTAATTCACAGCCCGGAGTTAGCATGCAGTTACAATAAATCTTACAGCATTAATAATTTGGGTTATTTTGAAGGTAAAATTCTCAGAGGGGAAAAAAATCTCATACAGCTTTTGTTTCACTTACCAAGGGGAGGTCCATGTGTCATTAGTATATCAATGCCCTCAGGGATAAGGTTCCACTTGTCTAGCAAAGACTGACCTCTGGGTAGGTTAAAGCCCCATCCATTAAACCACGGTGTCCTTTGGGAAAAAATAAGATGAACTGCATCAGTGCAAAATAAAAATCTCTTCTCCATTTTTTTTTCTGGATTATAACAAGTTCTGTACTGCAGAGACTACTTGCAAACAGCCTTTTCAACAGGAAAGCCTCTCAAGCAAACCAGTTCAAATACATACACACACAAATCTGTATGTCTGAAGTAAAATTAATGTCTTATGCTCTTTTTGTATCTCAAGAGTACATGGCCTTTATCTACCAGAGAGAAGAACATTAAAGTAACAAGGCTATAACTAGACTTTAAGTTTAGTGATATTTAAATGTAAGAACTCTCACCTTATCTTACCTACAAAAACAAACAAAAACCAAGGTTTTGGAGGTAAGGAGAATTAAAGCAAAAAACATCTAGTAGAAAAGAGTTCATTAGGAAGGCCATGTAACATTGTGGTTATGAGCACTCTGATACTTCACTGAAGTCAAACTTCCTTTGCCCAGCACTTTCAGTATCATAACACTTTCACATAACTTGGCTTAACTCCTGAGCCTCCTAGAGATCCTGATCAATGTTTGGCCTTGCAGTAACTTTTTAAGGGAGATCTTATCACTTACAATTCATTTAGGATTTCCTGAGAAAAACAGAGATCCTAAGTTTTCCCCATCACAGCACAGCGTTGCTCTGGGACATTTGTTTATCCATCAAGCCAGACATGTAATAATAAAAAGCTTACTTTTAAGGAGTGTTTTTTCAACATGTACCAATGAAGCAAGTGGTTTTGATGCAAGTATAATACAACAAAGCCCCTTATGATCAGGTACATCCATAGCAGTCGTTCCTAATGATGTCCACAGCTGTTACTAGCAAGATTCTGTGTAGCTGTTAGAATTGCAATATTTTTGATAGTTCTCATTTAGGAAGCTTTACTTCCTAGAATCTAGGTAACAGACTAGGTTGCTTCACTTTCTACCTAGCATAGCCCTGTTCCAGCCCTAGAGAGCTCAAGCTGCTCTTGTAGCCTTCTTTGTTCTGTAGTTCTGAAAAGAAAATTTTCAGTTTAAAAATAAACCTTGCCGGAAAGCATACACGTTAAATAGGAAAGAGACCATCATGAGTTTTACATCACTTCATTATGTAATCTGCCTCCTGCACCCTCTGAATTATGCAAACGTTCAATACCAAACATGCATCCAAGTGGAAATTTCCTGTTGAGACAGTCTCTACTTCATTTTTATTTTTTTTGCAATTAAAGTTTTTGTTTGTGACAGACAGTCATTTGACCAATGGGGAGTTTGCACACTTATAAGTATATTCTGAGTTCCTGAAAGTCAGCAGCACAGGCAAACAGCAGGCAATAGCAGTACAGGTGCAAGAAGGACAGTGGTGCCCCAGCCATAGACACCATGCGGCCACTGCTACTCGTACACAGGAACTCGCTCAACCTAGCAGACTTCCTGGGCTTGGATGAATGGCAACAAAGACAGGAAAACTAATGTCATTAAGTGTTTTAGGTAAGCTATGGGTTCCTCATGTGTAGTAAAGCAGCTCCAGCTCTCACTGTTGGCTTGTTCTGCACCCAGTGAAATGCTGAGGCAAGGTCTTACGCTGTGTAGTAAGGCAAGCACGCTGCAGACTAGCTTGACACACAACTGAAATAAAATTGAAGCATGTGCCTTCACTTCAGCTAAATTACAGGTGTTCCTGCTTTTCTATGATTCACCCTTCTGAAACAAGTCCAAATTAGGTACGAATGTTTCCTTTCCTATCATGTTCCCAGGATTTAACGCATCAAGATTATCGTAGCCCTCAGGACTGCAGTTAAAAGTTAAAATACAGTTTGGCTAAACATTCAGCTTCTTAAAAAAACAAACACAGCTCATAGATTGAACTTTTCACTATCAATTAATGATTCTTTCCCCACTTGCATTTCTTCTGCAGATAGTACTTTAGTTATTAAACCATAGTTAAACCTGAAACATGAAACCACATCTGTGATCTCTTTGGAGCTCTTTGGAGACTGCAACCACAGAAAAGCCTCCATTTATCTACAGGTTTTTTATTTTATGTTACTCTTAAGCACTGAGGGAGGAGGAGGGGAACCTGAGCTCCTCTATATTCTTCCTTCATCAGTCTCTGTAATTAGCTGTGACTAACAGCTACCACGTGGGAATCCACTTGTAAGAAAACTTTCAAGAAGCCTTCACCATTGTGCAGCATGTGCATAAAAAAAAGACAGTAAAATACTTTAATATGCTAAATATTTTCACAGGAAATAAAAATAAAAATAAATAAAAATAAAAAGTGGGGAGGGCGTGAGTGGAAGAACACCTGGGTCACAGATTTAGGTTTTGCTGCCTGAAGCAGATGCTCGGAACGGAACAGCACCATGCCCTGGCTCGTACCCAGAGAGCTGCCAGGCCCCGGTGGCACTGCGCAGTTCCAGGCCTTGCAGGAGAGCCAGCAGGGAAGAGCAGAACAGCTTCGTGGCACAGGTTCAGCCTGAGATGAGATCACAAGGAAGGTCACCCCGCGTTTGCACTGTGCTGTGTTGCCGTGCAGGCAAAACGGAGTTGATGTGCTGTGAATCCCTGGAGTGTGCAGGAGCGGCTGCTCCCCCAGCGAGCTTTGGATATGTGGAGACAAGGCCTGCACTGCAGGCAGGCAGGTTCCTCTCAGCAGATATTGGATATTCCACTCCAGTTGCTGCCTCTCTTTGATTACGCAAGGTTAAATATTGTCAAATGCAACTTCTAAATAATCTAGGGGAAAGAAAATGCGCACGTAGTTGCGCAGCTCCTGCAGCATCTTTTGAGCTGAGTGCTTGCTGGCACAGAGCACCTCAGCTCTAGGAGGGCATGACTCTAAGGTCCTTTGGCTGCACCCGCCTGCGATAAGCTGCAATCCACTGCAAATAGATAGGCAAAGGCTAATTAAGCATTTATACATGCGTATTTTTCTTTCCTATTCCGTATTTTAGGTAAGAGGGTTCAGTTAGCTACTAGAAACTAGAGTTGCATAGTTCATTTTCAAGCAGCTCAAAGAAAAGAAAGCAATCAGCTGTAGGAATGCTACAGGGGAGGCACAGACGTAAAACCATGGGAGTCAGGAATGAAAGATTACAAATGATTTTGTCATTTTACGTTTGATGGACCAGAACACTTCCTGGTACACACCGCATGGCACGACACAGGCCCTGCTCACAATCCGTGTCAGCCCATGGCTGGGAAAACCTAATTGAGCCCCTGCTCTTTGCAGCCACAATGCACTTCATAGCATCTTTCATGCGCCATGAAACCGTCACGGTAATTCTTGATCCCTGGCTCACCTGACAGCACAGCCCTCCCCTGCCTGCAAAGCTCCCTTATCGTTTAGGAATAGCAGCTCTGCTGGCACCAGATGTGTCTCAGGGAATAACCTAATGAAAAGCAGACACCTGCCCCATCACTGCCCTCTGCAGCTCCTCATCTCCATGCAGCATTCCCCACAGATCCCTGTCCACCTGGCATTTCAGAACTCACATTTTCCACAGTTAGAAGAGCGCCTATGCAGCAGGCCGCATACTGCCCCACACCTTGTGCCACGAGACATGCACCTCACCTGCCACAACACCAAGGAGAGGATCTTAAGCTCCAGGGCAAGACTTCCCCTCCCTGCACAGGTGCACTGCAAGAACTGTTTGATGAGAAAGGCAAATCCCTGCCCTTAGAAGCAGAGAGCTTGTTCTTCACCTGCTGATCACGTCTCCCTTTCCCTGAGAGACTTTACTGGTCTTTACTATTTTACAATTAAAAAGAAAAAAAAAGAAGTGAGAAAGCATTAATTTATTATGTAAGTTTCGGAAAATAAAGTCACAACCGCTCCTTGGTGCGCAAATCTCAGAAGCCAGAAAGCCACAGTCACACAGGGAAACAAATGACATAAGGCCATGGCCAAGTTCATCCCAATTATACAGGAACTTGCCTACTTCTGGAATGCTTGTGTCTTTAAGGGATGGTATCTTCCACTGTGCTCTTTCATTCTTCTTTGGCTAGGGGCACATGAATTTAATTCTGCAATCCTCAGAGCAACAACTCAGAAGGGGTACAGTGAAATAAAGTCCAGATAAAGGGTTTCCTTTTACTTCTGGTTTTAACTCTTAAATGCAATTATTTCAATAGTTACTTCTTAACAGGAACACATTCCCAGCTTTTAATTCGCAGTATTAATTCGCTTTAAGACTAACCAATCTCCTCAGAAAGCTTCAGTTTTATCTTTAGTCCAGTGACTAAAGTACACAAGAGACAGAAATCTCAGGCTGCTTCCTTCTGCAAGACAGAGTTAAGGGAATGCCTAACACGCATCACAGCAGGGAAACTTCCACACAAACAACAAAATGCTCTGTATTTTGGTCTGCATTTGATGTGAACTCACAAGCCTGGCTTAGAAGAGAGATTGGTGGCCCTTCTTCAGCAGAAGAGAAAGGATGGGACAGGGCACTGAACGTGCGCTCCTAGAGTTGCTCAGTTACAGGACTAACTTACACACGTATGTCCAAAGTGCCTGTTACAGCCCTACATGAATGGGGCAGCAGGGCAGTGCATTAGTAAAAGAGAAACTGCAAAAAACCAACAAGCAGAACCAACACCAAGTCCTCCCTCCACACCTGTCTGCTGAATGGAGAACTGCCTGCTGAGATGCATCAAGTGACTGCAGTGGGCAACAGGAGAAGGCGATCTGCAGAGTGCATGTAGCCAGGAAAACAAGACACAGCAGGGCAAGTGCACAATGCACTACATAAGCACATTTTACGTTTTATAAGGTAAGAGCTGCTATAAAGACCGTGACACTTGCTTTCAGTGCTACAAAAGCATTTTTCATTAAGCACTTTCTCATAGTCGGTATTAAAACACTTTTTTTTAATAAAATATAATGGAACGAGGAAATCTTAAAGGCCAAATAATTTCCTAAATGTGCTCATTGTAACATTGTGATTTTGCTCATAATGTTGTGGCATCTGAAAAGGACAAAGTCTGGTGATTCTAGCTGTCT